ATATTACAAATAACTTTTATTTTAAGAATTTTCTTCTCCAAGCGTAAATAACAGATATATTCTATAAAGCAGAAAAACGACGATCTATAAATATTTTAAGAATATCACCTTGGCCTTGACCTTGACTTTGACCTTGACCTTGACCTTGACCTTGACTTTGACCTTGACCTTCACTTTGACCTTGACCTGGCGCTTGACCTCGACCTTGACCTTGAAATTGACCTTGACCTTGAGCACCTTGGCACTAAAAATAACTAATCTTTTTTTTTGCAAGGTTGAATATAAATAATTTTAATACAATCTTCTTTCCGAAAGTATAAAAGATTTATTTACACACCTGTTGGCTTAGTCTGTTCTGAACAGTAAAAAGTGCTTTTATATTAGTGTTATTGTGTTCATGTGAGTAATTTGGATTTATTTAAAATATAATTAATATATAGTTTTTGATATTTGTCTTAAATTTATTACAAGTTTTTAAAATTTAAAACTTAAATTTTTTATTTTTGAAAAATTTATATATAATTTAATCTTCGAGACAATATTTTTCCGATTTTTTTTAGTCTATTTTAAAATTTTGACTTTTTTAGTTTTTGTTTTTCATTCTAAAATGGAGAAATTCTTAGTTGTAAAAGATAGTATTAGAAAAATACATAAATTTAAACTAACGGGTAGAACTATTGAGTTTAAATTACGTACAGCTCCTAAAGATGCCGACCCAATTAAGTGGGTAAAAGAAGGTATAAAAGATATTATAAATAAAATAACCGAGGGTGTAGATTCTAACGATAAAATCGGTTTTACATTTTGTTCAAAAGAATTTAGTCGTGGTGAAGGGTGGCTACGTCTTAAACCTGTTTCTGAGGTAAAATTTAACGATGTGTGGGACATGATTTCTTCCGTATACCAGTCAAATTCGTCTGGTTTAGATACTGAAACGTTCTGTCTTGGTGCAACATTTGTAAAAATGCCTAAAGGTAGTGGTAAAAGTGACAAATACAATACCTTCAACCAGGAATGTGCTGAAAGGCGAGGAATTGTGGTAATTAAAAATAAAGATAATCTTTGTCTACCTCGAGCTGTAGTAGTTGCAAAAGCGTACATTGATAAGGACCCAAGTTACATTAAGGTTCGAAAAGACATTGGCAAATTGCAGGGGCAAAGAGCAAAAGATTTAATGGAAATCGCTAATGTCTCTATAACTAAAGATGGTGCAGGTATACCAGAATTAGAAAAATTTCAAGAATATCTACAAGACTATACCATAGTTGTTTATAAATACGGAAACAAGGGTCGGGATATAATTTATGAAGGGGTAGGGGGCCCTAGGAAACTTAATCTATTATATTACGAACAGCACTACAACGTGATAACGTCATTAACGGCTGCCTTTTGTTGTAGTTATTTCTGTGATAAATGCCACACACCCTCCAATAATAAGAACGATCACAAATGTGAGAGGCAGTGTCCGGCATGTCGTCAGTCGCCACCTTGTCATTTTCAAAAAAACTTATTATGTAATATATGTAACAGAAACTTTAGAGGCCAGCAATGCTTTGACAATCATATTGCTAATAAAAAATGTGAACAAATTCGAAACTGTAAGCTTTGCCTCAAAACAATTCTCACGAGTAGGCATCACGTTTGTGGGGAAGTTTTTTGTAAAATATGCAGATCTCATAAACCTTCGCCTCACAATTGCTTTATGCCTATTGATAATGGTAAACCTACATTGTCTGGAGTACTATTAGTTTTTTACGACTTGGAAAGTACTCAAGAAACACTTATGCCGGACGGCTCATTTCTACATAAACCTAATTTGTGTGTGTACCAACAACATTGTGAGTACTGTATAGATACTGATATAAGAATATGTATTTGTGGTATTAGACAGCAAGTTTTAAAAATTGACCCAGTGTCACGATTTATGGAGTATATAATGAACCAGAGACAACAGTTTAAAAAAATATTCGTGATTGGGCACGCTGGTGGACTCTACGATAACCAGTTTATGCTTAGTTATATTCTAACTTCTACTGACCTTAAACCAGAACTTATTACCCGAGGAACAAAATTACTTTTAATGAGTGTGGGAAATGTTAAGTTTATTGACTCTCTTAACTATTTTCCAATGCCTTTGTCAAAATTACCTAAAGCTTTTGGGCTCAAAGATGTAAAAAAGGGTTATTTTCCCCATTTATTTAATAAAAAAGAAAACTGGAATTATATAGGTCCTTTACCAGCTCTGGAATATTATGATCCTGATAATTTAAAGTACACTCCCACCCTCGATGAAAATACTGATAGTAGACAACAGCTTGTGGATTGGCATGAAGAAAATAAAAATTACGTCTTTGATTTCCAAAAGGAAATCATAGCATACTGTATATCTGACGTAGATATTTTAAGCCGTGCATGTTTAAAATTCAGAGAAATGATTATTAAAGAGGGACGAGTAGACCCTTTTACTGAAGCTATTACACTTCCAGGGGCGTGTAATAAAATATTCCGTAGGAATTTTCTAAAACCCAATATGATCGGACTTGTGCCTAAAAATGGCTATAGATACCGAGACAAACAGTCTAAAATTGCCGTACAATGGTTAATTTGGGAAGGTCATCAAAGAGGTATTAACATTATTCATGCAGCAAATGGAACAGAAGCTGTGCTAGCTGGAGTGAAAGTAGATGGTTTTTGTAAAGAAACTAATCAGATTTTTGAATTTCATGGATGTTATTTTCATGGCTGTATTAAGTGTATAAAATACAAACGGGATGAACCGTTGCATGAAGACCCAACCTCTACCATAGAGGCGCGGTATGAGTCAACTTTAATGAAAACTCAAAGATTACTCTCTTTAGGCTACGAAGTAATAGAAAAATGGGAATGTGATTTTACAATAAGTGAAGAAATTCTTACATTTACTGAAAATCACCCTCTTATTTCTTTTTTACCTTTAGAACCTCGTGACGCATTCTATGGTGGTAGAACTGACGCAACGAAATTGTATCACAAATGTGCAAAAGAAGAGAAAATAAAATACGTAGATGTATGTTCTCTTTATCCTTGGGTGAACAAGTATGGAAAATATCCTATTGGACATCCACAGGTATTTGTTGGAGACAAGTGCAAAACACTAGATTTATACAAAACTGACGGATTAATTAAATGTAAAATTTTACCACCGCAGAACCTTTATCACGCAGTATTACCTATTAAATCAAACAATAAACTTATGTTTTCACTTTGTCGGACATGTTGTGAAAATATGTCAAATGAATGTGTTCATAATCACGAAGAAAGGGTTATCTCAGGTACTTGGGTGATAGACGAAGTTTTAAAAGCTTTAGAAAAAGGCTATAAAATGATTGAAATATACGAAATTTGGAAGTATGAAACTGTCCAGTACGATCCTAATACTAAAACAGGTGGTCTATTTTCAGAATATATTTCCAATTTTTTAAAAATTAAACAACAGGCCTCGGGGTGGCCTGTGGATTGTAAGTCTATTGTGGAGAAAGAAAAATATATCACAGAGTATTTTGACAAGGAAGGAGTTTCTTTATGTGCTGATGAAATTGAATATAACCCAGGGCGTAGACAGATAGGAAAAAGTGTCATCACAAGTTTCTGGGGAAAATTAGGACAAAAAGACAATCAAGATAAAACCTCAATAGTCTCAGATACTGCTGAATTTTTCGATATTTTATCGAAACCGTTTATTGAAGTAAATAGTGTCTTTCCAGTAAATGAAAAAACTTTATTAGTTAATTGGGTGTTTAAAAATGAGGCATATGATGTTCTCCCCACAGTCAATGTTGTTTTGGCAGCATATACAACGGCTTTAGCGAGGTTGAAGTTGTATAGTTTCTTGGAAAAGTTAGATAAAAAAGTTCTTTACCACGATACAGATTCCGTCATATATGTTTCTCGACCTGGAGAATATGAAGTACCTTTAGGTAGTTTTCTGGGTGAAATGACCGACGAATTGGCTGAATATGGAGAGGGTAGCTATATTACAGACTTTGTCTCTGGTGGCCCAAAATTATACGCGTACCGTGTCTATTCTACAGCAAAAAATAAAACGCTGGACCTAATAAAAGTAAAAGGAATCACCTTAAATTATAATACGAGCGAACTAGTAAACTTTGAAAAACTAAGAGACATGGTACTTAATGAAGCCCCTAACGAATATATTTCAACTAAAAATATCTTAAGAAATACTGATCATACTGTTGTTACCAAAGAAGTAACAAAGGTCTTTCGTACTAATTTTACCAAACGAAAACGTATTGATAATTACGATTCTGTACCTTACGGTTATAAAAAACAAAAATTTGAATCATTTGCTAAATAATTAAAAACTAAATCTTTTTAAAGTCATTTTCTTCCTTCGATTCCTATCCTTAAGGTCAAAAAGTAAGTAGTTATGTAAACTATAGAGAGATTTTAAAGAGGCAATAGTTGCAAAAACAATAAAAAATACAAATATAAAAACAAAAAAAACAAAAAAATATCAAAAGACCCATATAAAAAGGACCCATGTTTAACTTAACTGAAAAAAGGCAAATATAAAAAATATTAATAAAAACAATATAAAAGAGGCAAAACAATACAAAAAAGATCCATATACGAAAATTACGATTTAAAAATATCAAAAGACCCATTGACAAAAACAGACTCATGTTTAACTTAACTTAAAAGAGGCAAATATAAACATATTAATAAAAACAATATAAAAGAGGCAAAACAATACAAAAAAGACCCATATACGAAAATTACGATTTAAAAAACAATAATATCAAAAGACCCATATACAAAAAAGACCCATATACAAAAAAAAGACCCATATGTAACAACCTAAAAGAGGCAAATATAAAAATATTAATAAAAAACAATATAAAAGAGGCAAAATAACAATATTAAAATGTAAGAGACAATTTATCGTGACAGAACGTAAAGTTATTGTTGTCAAATAAAACCTATAGAAATATTTTTTTAGTTTACAAAACTATGTTATTATGACTGTCCCTATCTTTCCTGGCCAAACTAAAAATGTATAAACTTGTTATTAAATAATAAAATCGTTATAAAAACAATATCGAAATAGGTATGTGGAAGATTAAAATAAAACCTTTAAAATTTGTGATTATGGTGATAGCAGTATCTAACCTTGCAATAAATTTATACGGTAATAATCCTATATTTTTATTATTAGTTTCCAAGTTTAAGATCATACGATTTATTAGCTCTTATCAAATAACAACAACTACGATAATTACATATTAGGCCATATTTTATCAAATTAAGTGTCGTTTGATTTTGTTTAAATAAAACAATAAAAAGTTTAAATAATCTAAGATTTTAAGTTTAGACATTATTAGCGCATATGCCAAAAGTCCCTGTATTTTACCAAAAAACCCCATCCTTTTTACCCCATCCCATCCTGACAAGCTATTGTTACAACCTTCCCGTTGGTGCTTGTTGTTAAAAGTATTTTTGTTTTTATTAAACAATTTTACTTAACCAATAGTAACAAAGCCTCAAATATTTTTTAGTCATTTTCTTTTCAAATAATTTTACTTAACCAATGGCAACAAATATTTTTTAACCTAAATAGCTTTTATTATTCTTAAGCAGAAATTAATTTTTGATTTAGTTCTATGATATGCCAATTTAATCCAATTTTTAAAAACAGTAATACTGGTATAAACTTTAATGATTATATATTTTCATTTTAAATTATGAATACTATACATAGTTTTATATGGTCGATTATTCATATACTAGAAACTGCAGAAAGACAACATTCCCTCAACTTTTTAAAGAAAGATTTTCGTATTTATTAATTTAAATTAGATTGATGATTTCTGAATTGTGTCCTATTCTTAGAAAAAATTATTTCGGTGACCTAGTAATTTAAAGCCGATTAGGTTATCGATATATTTTGATGTTAAAATAACTTCCTTTAAACAATTGTTTTTTTGCACTAACCTTCGAAATTATTAATAAAATTTTGGACCATTATCGATTTTTATTTCACTGCTTCAGTGTTTGACCTTCAATTTTAAGAAAATAATCTAATTATAGTTCATTCTTTGTTTGAATACCATATTGTACAGATATGTAGGTGTTGGTGTTATTACTTTAAAAAATGTGTAATGTTTCATCAGAAATGATAGTTAACGCTATTTTTTTCTTTGGATATGTATGATGAGTTTTAAAAATGATAGTTTATTTATGGTTGAAGGTAAGTACTTTTTGTAAAATGTGATAGTCATGTATCGTCTGCTAGTAATTTATTTTCAGTTAAAACAATCATCTGTCTTTAAAAACCACATAAGCTAGATTTTTCTGATTTATAAATATCCATTGTTAAGTACTCCTCCTTCTAAGACGGTATTGAGTAATAATGAGGTGTAATTCAAATGGATAATCCTGTTATTGAAATGTTTCGAAAAATCGTAAAATTTAGATATGTATTAATATTTTTTAAAAGTGGGTGTTGGGACAATATAATTTTTCGAAATTAAAAAACTTATGTCTCTACCTACTAGTGTTGATGTATACGGCCTTGATTGTATATAATAAAGATTAGATAAATTAGTTAAAACAATATAGATATGTAGCTTACAGGGGTCGTGGTTGGGTCTTAAACGTTCTAATAATAAAACTACTAAGGTGGTCAATAAATTCTCAAACATTTAAAATGGATATTCTCGGTAGTGTTCAACCACTAATACCCATATATATTTTTTTGTATGGAGATACAATCACCAATTCCAAACGTGAAATTAAATTACATACTAATATTTAGTTCTGACATAGTTGTTCTTTAAAAATAGAAACCCTTATCTATTGATTAGATCTTAATCTTAGTGTGTGCGAATCATTTTTTTTATATGTAAATATATCAACATGATTAAATTTTAAAAGGAAAAAATATATTCACCATTCAACATGAAAAATTTGTCGAAAAGCCAGGCCGAAGGGCCAGGTATTCTGGAGTAGATCACCGAATATTTTTCATCTAATAGACATGTTAGTTCGATTATAAAAGAAATAAATCTTTAATATTTGATACATTTGGAACGCTTACCGAAGTAGCTTTTCAATTCTATTTTATTTTGAAACTTATCGGTATCTGTATTACCGGTAATAATAATTATCTGAGTTGCAAACGTCTTATAATATGTTAATACTCAGCCTTAAACTTTAACGCCTCTAACCTAAAACCCTCCAAACTCTAGACTTATTTAAAATTAAAATATCCCATATCCCAACCTATTAATTGTTGAAATTATAACAATTTAATTTTAAAGGCACCCCTTTGTTGTTTAGACTACAACATATAAACCTACTTCCCACCTCCCCATATTATTTTCAACAACCCCCAAGAATTTCTACGAACCCTAAAGTCTTCTTCTCTCAGTAGGTTACAATATCAGAACAAGGCTCGAGCAAGAGAACGACGGCCGCCATCTTGAATTCTTACACCTAACATTTATTAATAATTATACAAACTTAATCCCTCTTATCTTACACCTATTACGCTCAATGTCTAGGCCAAATGGAGCAGGCCGCGGCGCATGAGTTCATTCCGTGTATTGTGGGTTGCGATACCTTGGAATGTTAGACCGTGTATTGCGGGTTGCGGTGTATCCAGTCGGCCTCAAGCGCCCCTACCTCTACTGACCGCAACGCTCTGCCTCAGAGAGCTCGCGTTAATTGCTGAATTTTAATAGAGGAACATGAACGAGGTCTTATTTACCGAGATACACGATGTTAAAATTTTTAAATCAAAATTCAGAATTTGCCATAAAGTGAACTCATTAAATATTTTTTCAAATTTGATAATACCAAGATCCTGTTAAATACATGAACTACTAAAAATTTAACACGTGTCTACTAGATTAGAATTAAGAAATATTAAGATTTTACATGTAGACTTTTGTTTGGAAGCAAATTTCATAGCTCCATAAAAAATTATTATTTTTTTAACTAAAGATGAACAGAGATTAAAAAAAATGTTCCCGTGGCGTAAAAAAATTGTGTGAAAAAGTTGTTACTAAACTTGATAGCTGGTTAAATTTATGTCAAAATACTAATTTCTTAAAGAGCATATTGGTCATCAAATTTGAAGAAAATATTTTAAGGCGTTTTTGATTTATGACAAGTTTTAAATTTTTTTTAAACCCTGTATCTTGGTAACTAAGCCATTTAAGGGTTCATGTTCCTACATCAAAATTCATCAATTAACGAGAGCTCTCTGAAGTAGAGCGTTGTCGGTCGAATATACAGGGTGTTTCAGATTTAAACGGACACAGCTTAATGGGAGGTAGAGTACACTTAGCTGAGTTCAAAACGCCCCCATACTTAGCCTTTAATCTTACTTGTTTCTGAGATATAGGGTGTTTTATGATTTTTGCCAAAACTAAAATCGGCCATTTTGTTTGAACGGCTAGAGATATTTTGATAAAATTTTGAACAAAAGTTACTCTCTCTTAGTTTAATCAAAACCATATTTAAATTTTAAAAAATTCCAGTACCGCACTCTCTTTTTATTATATTGCCCTTTTTAGCTAGAATATTACCCTGTATATCGGATTTTAATAAATGTTACTGCACATTTGAATAGTTCGTGGATCAATAAATAAAATAATTTAATAATATTAATGGCACCATCTTGATTTTCTTACAGTAAATTTTAATATTGGCGACTACAATATTATAAATCAGTATTTACAATATTAAAATCAAATATTTTACTCTGTACTTTTAAAACTCTACACAAATTAGGTACCATCTTATTTTTTTTAACTACAGCATTTTCCGTTAGGAAATTGAACATCTACACAGGAACGGGCTCATTTTATTTAATATAGTAATAGAATAAACTAACAGAAAAAAATAATTAAAACTAAAGTAGATTTTCAAAATGAACATTGTAAACGTCAATACACCTCTGCGAACGTTTTAACAGGTTTTTTACTGATTTGTCAATTATTTCCGGTTTATTTCTGTTTTTACATACATTATTAATTTTTTCCATAAACTGTGCTCGGGTATTCATTTCTTCGTTTTACAGCTCTGATTTAAGATAGCCCCATAAAAAATAATCCAGTGTTAAATCTGGAGATCTTGGTGGCCAATTGACGGGACCGCCTCGACCTATTCATCTATTTGGAAAACGATGATTTAAATGGTCCAGCACCATCGTGTTTAAACCACATTCCTCTGGTATTAATCCCTTCTAACAAATTTGGCATGATGTCTCTAAGGAAATTTAAATAAACTTCAGCTGTTAATCTGCCTTCAAAAAAATGAGGACATATTAAATGATTTTTATAAATACCATACCATGCATTTATAGAAAATCTATATTGGGAATGTTTTTGTTGACCATTCCTAGTGTTATTGATCCCATCACGTGAAAATTGGAATTCATTAATAAAAATGTTTTAGAATTTGGTAAACGGCGATTAGGAAAGCATCTGCAATACTCTCCTACTGCTGCTCTACCGTTTCCGCTATAAAAACCGAACACAAAAATAATGTCTGCATATTCTTCATCACTAAATTGTAACGGCATCCTGAAATACTTATTTTTATACCATTAGAAACTTACACTTATGAACAAAAGTAAATTAGCTCAAAATAATATACTTAAAATAAGTGATATTATTTGACACAAGCCTACTGGTATTATACAATTTTACATTAATCATGTTTAGGGCGAAATGAGTGATGGTGTAATTTGGCGCATATTGGCAGTTGACTAAATTGAGTTTTCAGCTTGTTTATAAAATACCTAGTTTTTTGAACTTTAAAATTTGATTTCATCAGAGTTTTAGTTCGTTTAAGTTTTAGTTCATTTTAATTTCCAAATATGAACGTGAAAAATGAACGTGGAGAGAGAAATGAATGAAGTGGTTCGAAATCACCGGAGAAGCCCTTTCTGCAGTGTCCACACACGTTCATTTCTTTACCAGTTTACGTACTCTCGACAACTATCACCACCCATAAAATTATGAGGAAGAACTGGAGATGTAGAATTAGAAGGAGTTGCAGAAGTATGAGTTTCAGATACAACTTTTGGCAACCTTGTTTGAAATTCAATCACAAACTGACTCGCGCTTCCGATTAGTTCTCCAAGGTTAAAAAGTACTTTTGATAATACCCCCCCCCCCCATACTGTTTTAGCTGGAGGAGGATTACATGCATCTAAAGCAAAGTAAACTTTCACGGTACAATCAACGGCTTTACATAAAGACGAAAATTTGTATAAAATTTGATCTATTACCAACCAATCACTTTGCACATTGGTCTCTGTACCTGTGTATATAACAATGGGTTGAATTGTCTTACCGTATTTGACTGCTGTCTCCCTAAGCAAAGCTAGGGTCTCTTGTATATCTGCCTCTCTAGGGACAAATCTTGCAAAGGCGCTTCTGATTTCTTCATAGAAAGCTTTGCTTAGTCTTCTTTTGTTTGCCTGGTTAATCACGTTCCCTCGATGTGAGCAAATTAAAGGAAATAGAAGTAGCAGCAAATCTTTTCTTTCTTTGTCACTAATGATTTGACCTAAAATCAAAGAGAAGAATATATAGTACCTACCTATATAAAAAGTGCAACTTACAGTATTATTTTTTAATTTCTCCAAACTGTTTTTATTTTTTTAATTTAATATAAACGTTCTCCTCTAACCCACAGAACACACATATCCATCCCTGCCTTAACAACTGCAATATACTTGTTGCCAATAAATTTCCTTGTAATTTTTCCAATATTTCTACATACAACTTTTTCTCCTTTTTTGCAGTTAAATTTTTGGCTTTATCCACACCAATTTTCAATATACATTCCGACAAATGATCTAGCCGGTTGTGGAATAAAGACGGTGATGCTGCTAATGGAAATATTTGTTTGAAATCTTCTAGGATCTGGAAAACAAAACGATGTTAGTTGATTACTTGCTAAATTGCTCACATATTTATTCGCACACCTAACTTACCAAGCGATAGTCCTGACTACAATTCAGCGATTTAAATCGCTGAAAGTTGAATGTTGACTCCGATATCAGAATTCTTTGTCGAATGTTGAAGGTCATTTTCCACGCCGTCTCGACCGCTTCCCAAGGATGAGTGGATCTCTCGAGAAAAGAAATAGCATCTTATAAGTCCTCTGGAACTGAAATAAAAGTAGAAATGGAGAAATAAATTCAGATGAAAATATTGAATGAACTGAAGATAGGGGTGATTTCACAAAGCTATGGGAACATACGATTTCTAGATTTTGTTTTGGAATGTTACTTCAATCTCAATCCATCGTTCGAATAAATGAAGCGGTCATGTGTGAAAACAAAAATAAAATAAAAACTTCTTATACCTTCAACAGGGCACTCCTCTCTTCGATCTAGGGATGAAGTACTTGGTCGACTTCCTGACTTTGATTGGCTCCGAGCTGTTAGCGACAGGTCACCTTCTCCGCGGAACTGTTTCCTCAGACAATTATACGCAATGTATATAGGTCGACTTGCATTTCTTTGCTTCAGTTTTTCGGTTTTCAACAAACCATGCGTTTGGTTCGGTCCCTAGAAAAAGGATTGCCAGTTCTTCGACTAACGCCTTAAATTCCTGCCTGCCGAAAATCTGGATAACAATTAGCCAAGGTTATTAAAAGACATATTTGTAAGGTATACATACGAAAACATGGAAATCAGAAAAAGTTTACGTGTAAATTAACTAGTTGTCAGCAATTTATACTTGAAAATGACACTTGAGCAACACCCGTAAATCAGAGATACATTACCAGGTCGTAATTATGCGTTCAGTTAAAATATATGTAAAAATTGGAACATACATGTATTCTACAGTTCGCTAAGGTACAGTTAAAACCATTTGAAAAATACAAATAAAACAACTGATACCAATACATAGATAAATAAATAAATAAAAGATAAAGTTAATCAAAACTACAAGTTTCAATTGTATTATTTGAAAATTGTAACTATACTTAACTGTACATCTAAATTACATTTATTATCGGTCTCGATATTTTCTTCAGTTAAGATTATGTGAAATGTTACGTATTAAATCAACTTCGTAATTTAGATTTAAATAAGTTTGAACTCTACTTAATTATGCCCAACTGAAAATCACAACTACATAATTAAAGGTAAAATTACAAATTTTTTTCACAGAGTACCGCTGTACGCTACAGATGATTAAAAATTATTTGTTCATTCTGCCAACCGCTTTAATAAATCGCTAAAGCGCTATAGTTCCCTATAGTTTCCATAACAGTTTATGGAAAAAAACTAAAAAAATATCCTGAAACTTTTACTAAAAATTGTAATTTGAGTTTTATTAATTTTTTTTTAAAAAATATGGAATTTTTAGTACTGCTTTTTCTAAAATTGATTTTAAAATATATTCTTATGTCCAGTCTCATTTCGTATTGCTTACTATACTAAACTGTGTAGGTACACCATTTTTTGTCGAAAATTGATGTTGCGAAAGTGAAGAAAAATATCTAAAATATTCTTATTTTTTATCGAGAAATTTTCTTTTTATTGGGTAAGCTTATTGACATATTAGCTCTAATAATATCAAAACCTACATGTAAGTTTTTTTTATTTGGGTAATATTTAACTATTTTTGTGTTTATGATAAAACTTAAGTTTATAAGTAAACTATTAGCAATATTTACATTTCTTTTACATTACTCTCTAGCATTTCCTATTATTATAAACTCATTTAAATAAGCTGAACATATTGTAACGTACATATGTGTTACACAGCTCCGGCAACTCTCTTGTTGTGGATGAGGAGGATCGTGAGTTAGATCTAACACTATCAATTCGTTTTGACTATAACAACCTTCACAATTGGTACCTATTTTTAGATTCAGAGAGTTTTATAGGGTTGTTGATTTAGGCGCCACTGGGGGATAAAAAAAGAAATTACTCTGTTACCAAACCTAGGTCACTTTCCCCCAGCAAAGATATTGCGAAGATTAACCCCTACCTGAAATTGTTATTACCTTAAATACAAATATATGTGTATGATCCAAAGCATGGGAATTGTATTGTTATGAAATAAAATACTTTGTAATACTGAATTGTTTTTTTTTAATTGTGACGAGACAAAGAGTGACAAAATATCTCGCTCCTTTTGAGCTAATCGCAATTTTAGTCAATGTCAGACGGAGACCACTCCGCGACTGGCACACCCTGGTAGTACGTCCCAAGGGTTGAGGTTGTGCCTCTAACACTGACGTCCTCGAACGCCCGGATCCAATTTGGTGTCATCAGGAACCCCCTCAACTTGTATACCAAGGTATACAAGTCACAAGAGTCTCTCTCTGACATCCACTCATATTGGATGGGGTGAAGTTACAATCTATAGGTATAGCGACCTTTTCTAAAAGTTATTTTCTACAATATGGTTTAATAATACATTTAATACCTTGCGGTTCTTGGTTAAATACCTAGGGCTGGTTACCATTGCCCTCTGTTGACAGAAGTCAGCGATTTACAATTTTGTAAATCAAAATACTTATAAATATAATTAATCAAATTTAAATTTGGAAATCATGGCCTAAAGTTTCTAATACAAAAATTAATAAAATACAATGTTACTCAAATTGATTCTATTCGGGTCTCCTCGTCTCGCACCGCTGTCTTATTGGACTAATTCCCGATTGGAACCAGCTCCACGCTCGCCCTCATCTCTGGATGGGTCTCAGATTTCCAGCGATTCATCATAGAATAATATAATAGTTTTTATTAGATGGTAGTGTTAATACTCAAGATGACGTTTGACAGGTAACAAGTTGCACAACTCTCCACAATCGCTTTGCACATCCAACTACCTAATAAATCGATAAGCTACGTAGATGCGCTAAGTGGTGGGAGAACAAATGCGATAATATCCGAGTTAGTTCGGAGCGCGGAGTCTGTCAGACCTACTGCGACTACTTCAGGGTTAAATAAATGAACAAATAAACTTTGAAAAATTCTAAACATTACAAACGTTTTAATTATTTAATTCAATATAAAATTAAAATAATCTAATCTAATTAAAATGATTGGCTCTTTATGAAATTACATGAGCGCAGCTACCAATGGTACGTCTTCCAGTCAAACACGTGCAATAATGTTCTTTGATAGTGGTGTTTCCTTCTTGAGTGAGGTCTATTAATATTGTTACGCTGGTTTTTTTTATGTCAAATAAGTGTTTATTATTTCACACCATATTTTTTATAATAGATCAATGCATATAACTGAAAAATATACTTTTGAATATACAAAATATATTCAACATTTTAGCAAGCTTCAAAATTAGCCATTTAATGTATCTGATCATCCCCTGCTTCCAATTCTTCTTCGATGTTACCTAATTCTTCTATGGTGTTACCTCCCGATTCTCCTCCGGTGTAACCTCCCGAGTCATTACTTAGCGGATCAATGGCTGAAAGAAAAGCCTGTAGTAAGTTCAGCCCCGGAAACTGGATTCTAATTTCCAACATCCCTTCCAACATATGCAGTATGACTGTTGACCCGATGACCTCCCGACCGATAATTTGTACAAAACTTATGCAAATCCCTTCCTCAAAGAGGTTGTTGGGATGGAGTATTAACACTATATGTTACTCAGTTTTTTTTTTAATTAGCCGGCTGAAAAGAAAGTGTCTGATCAGCTAGGAGCCATGAGGCAATGCCAGTTAAACGAAATTACATTTTAATAAAAGCTGAAGGAAAAATAACATAACTAGGATTACTAACCTTATGTTTCACTATGTTAAAGGGAAGTTTCGAAATCTGTTACTTTTAATGTCTACCCTTAATAATCCACCGTTGTTGCTAATTGCAAAATTGTTTCGTCGGCTTCTCACGACAAAATGGCTAAGAACCAGGAACCGTTGTTCCTCTCTTATTTTGCCAGTTGCGCATGAGCGGTTTCATACCATTTGAAAAATCAACCGTCTCTTAACTTCTTGAGCTTAAGAGCGGGAAATTTAAACATACTCTACAGTCTAACTCTATTTGAATTAAAGTGACCTTGTAGATTAATGACTATATTAATGACGATTTTATAATATACCTTTACACCCTAAATTATGACCAAATGACGTTTTCTTAAAATTTACGATTGTAACTAGGACCTCGAAACAAACGAACGGTCTTTATTTAACTACCATTCGCACAGTAGTGCAAATGATTTAAAGTTCTGACATTAATTATAAACTAATTATAAACCTAAATATTGTTTACTAAGAGCACATCTTTTCACCTCTGAGTAAAGTTACATGTAGGTTTACTTGACAGATTAACACACAATAGCCATATAGTTTAATCAGCAAGTAGTTACTTTCAACTTTAATCAGAGATAAAAAGACTGGCCCTAAATGTGATAGTTTTATATGAAATCTAATAAATAAATTTGTGAATATAAATGAGTGGAATAATTGAAATAAGTGGTATAGTTGTAATTGGAGAACCAGGATAAGACCTGCGCTTATATATTAAGGATAAACCTTTAAAATCCTACATTAAGGTGATTTTATTTAAAAATTATGACATTATAATATTAGAATGTTACAATATTATATTTTATGATCTCAAAAATTCTAAAAATCCGGTCAATCCAGACATTCAAGGATACATAAATTCGCACCTGGCTGAAAGTTAGTAGGATTGTTCAAAACACCATTATAAATTAAACCTAAAAAGTCCTCATCAATCTGGAACCTGGAAAAAAATTTACTCGGGGTCAAAAGTCACAAAAATGGGTTTTACGCGATTTTCAGCAAAACGGTAAGTTTTATCACAAAATTAGTTCAAAAGAAAATTGTAGAGCAGATAATTATCTATAAAAAATGTAAGATTTTTTTCCTAAGAGCCATCGTTTCCTAGATATAACAATTCAAAAAGTTCGAAGAGTTGGAATTGTCGTAATATGCACACGTTTCCACACCACCTTTGAGGTAGTGTACTTAGCGCGTTTTTTTTAACGTGGTTTCCCCGGTAGGCCTATTCCACGGATCTGTTGTGACTCTAATTTGGGTGCATGTAAATTGGCAAAATAGTGATAGGTCGCATGTCTC